TGCACACCTGTGGTCCCAGGAGAGGCAAGAGGAGCCTGGGTTACACTGAAAGCCCTGTCTCAAAAACAAAACACAAATTAAAACCAAGAAAGTTAAAAGTCGACTTCTTGGGAAATCGGGAGAGGTCATCATAAAAAAAAAATAATAATAATAAATACACTTTTAAGGGGCTGGAGAGGTGGCTGTTCTTCCAGAGGGCCCAGGTTCAGTTCCCAGCACCCACATGGTGGCTCACAGCCATCTGTAACTCCAGCTCCAGGGGTCTAAGACCTCTTCTGACTTCTGTGGGCACCACACACACGACTCATATACACACATTCAGGCAAAACATCTATACACAAAATACATGTTAAAAATACACTTCTAGAGGGTGGAGATGGCTCACTCACACAGCATGAGGACCTGCGCTCTCTTTACTTGGACTCAAAAATAAAAGAATTTTAAAACAACTCAGGTGGGAGTGTTGTATTAGGGTCTTATTGCTGTGAAGAGACAACGTTTTATTGGGGCTGGCTTACAGTTTAGAGGTTCAGTCCATTATGATCATGGTGGGGAGCAGGGTGGCATGCAGGCAGACACGGTGCTGGACAGGAGGCTGAGGATTCAACATCTGGATCAGCAGGCAGCGGGAAGTGAACTGGCTTGAGCATCTGAGCCCTCAAAGCTCCCCCCCCCCACCCCAGTGACATACTTCTTTCAAAAAGGCCACTCCTCCTGATAGTGCCACTGCCTATGAGCCTATGGGGGCCGTTTTTATCCAAACCACCATAGGAAAGAGGTTAAGCAACAAGCGTCAGGTCAGGCAGGCAGGCCGTTGATCTCCGCAGCTGCCGAGGAAGGTGTTAGAGAAGAGGGATCGAGAAAGCCATCTCTTTGGCAACGGAGACCTGCAAGGGAGAAGAGGTGTGGGAGCTTCAGAGAAAGAGTGAAAAAATCCAGTGTGCCAGGGAAAGAATGCATGCTTGGGATTTTTGGCAGGTACATGAACAAAAAAGACAGCCAGGAAAGGAAAAAGCATGCTCTGGGAAGGGTGGAGGGACTCAGAAAAAACTGTTAGGCTACAGTGTTACAAGATGAAAACTTTTCAAGCATCTACATAGGGGAGGGGCTTCAGGGAAGGATAAGTACATTATTGCATTAAGGGGATAATAATTCCTCCCATCTCCCTAGCATGGCTTTAGTGGATCGCCTTTTTGAGGGATGATCTGGCTGGATGATAGACAGGCCCAGCTGGGTTAACTGAAGCCTAGAACCCGAGAATGGAATCCCCACTGAGGAACTGACAGGGTCAGAGGGACCTGTGGACATGTCTGTGGGGGCTGTTTAAAGATGCTGGAGAGCTCTGCCCACTGCGGGCAACACCATTCCCTGGGCAGGTGACCCTTGTTTGTATAGGAAGGCTAGCTAAGCATGAGACCTGTGAACAAGCCAAGCAAGCAGTGTTCTTCCATGGTCTCTGCTTTATCTTCCCGCCTTCACCTCCCAACATTGGACTGCATGCTGAAATAACCAGTCTCCTTCCCTAAGTCAATTTTGGTCAGAGTGACATCAACAAAAGCAAGCTAGACTACGGTATGTCATGTTCTAATCTTTGGAGCAGATCAGAATGTCTCATCTTCACCCAAGGCCAGAGGTAGATTCCATGCCTTTGACCAGGAGGACACAGCTTTTCATTGACAGGCTTGGACAGAGCCCTCTGACCCATCCTCCACGCCTCCCAAGGCTGCTTCCATAACACCCATGGCGTTGGCTCTGCGTTCATTGCATTCCTGACAATGCTGGGTTACTCAGGGACCACATAGAGGGCTGATTTTTCATATTAAGTAAGAACACCCACAGTGCTGAGAAAACACAGCCCATCCCAGGTTCCACAGGCCACTCTGGGCCAATGATCCACAAAAAGCAACACGAGGGCGCCGGCCAGGTGACTTAGAGGCTAAGAACTCTTACCGCTCTGCAGAGGAGCAGAGTTCTGCTCCCATCACCCACGGTGGGCTGTTCAGAAAGGCCTGAAACTTCAGTTCCAGGGAACCCAGTGTCCTCTTCTGGCCTCTGAGGGCACCACAGGTGCACACACACACACACACACACACACACCACACCACACACAGACACACATGCCACAATACACCCCACACATACACCCTACACATGCCACCTACAACAACACACACCACACACAGACACATACAACCCCTACACAGAGACACACATACCACACCACACACACACACACAAATAAAAACGAAATAAATCAATAGGAAGGAAGGACACTGCCAATAACTTTACCATCTATATTAATATATGCTTATAAAAGATATTGCATATACAATCATCCCTATGCACCTGCCAGCTCTGTGTGAGAGGAGAGTTTATCCACTTTGGGGGAGTCCTATGGTGGTGGTAGTGGGGGGGGCTGTCTGACCTTTTGACCTTGCAACACAACATCTCTATAAATGTGTTGTAAAATCACTCTGGGGGTGATTTTAAATCTACAGCAGACATGGATAAATTCTGGACAAATACTACAGCATTGTAAATAAGGGATTTGAACAGATAAGCATTTGGCATCATAAGGGTATCCTGGCAATATGTGTAGACAGACACTGAATAATGTATGTTTTTTAGTTTATTATTTAATTTTACTTAATATTGTTAGCAACTGTGACAGGATCTTGCAACACATCCTGGATTAACCTAGGACTTGCTGTGTAGACCAGGCTGGTCTCAAACTCAAATTCTTCTGAACTCAGCCTTCCAGATGTTAGGATTACAGGCATGTACCAGACTGCCCTACCCTTAACAGTCTCAATCAAGCTTATAACACACTTAGTTTATGTTTAATTGTGCCTCTTTGTGTGGGTATGTGCATGTGTGTGCAGTACTCTCAGAGGCCTGGGGCATCGGTTCACCATGGGTTTTGAGCCGTGGGTTTCAGGAACAGAATTCAGGTCCTCTTCAAGCGCACTCTTAACTGCTGAGCCATCTCTCCAGCCCCCTCAATTAAGCTTTTTAAAAAGATAGTATATTTTCAGGATGTAAAATTCCAAAGTATAAAGTGGAAGTCCAATTCCTCCTCCACCTTCTCCCAGGTCCACCCCCATACCCATGGGCATGACTCTCCAGAGATATTCCATCCCTATGTAGGTACGCGCACGCGCGCGCACACACACACACACACTCACTCACACTCACTTTGGTCCCTTTGCAAGGTGCCTGGAGATCCACTTACATCTGACCACTGGGCATCACTCATCTTAGTCAAGACAATCATTCTCACCGTGCTGGATGGTCTCATAGTCTCCTGCCTCACAATTTACTCACGATTCTCACCTGGTCCCTCTAGCATCTGGCCTTGCACCCAGGAAGGACACACACACACACACACACACACACACACACACACACACACACACACACACACCCGCCCCGCTCTCTGATGCTTGTAGTTCCTAATAGTGTCCAGCAGAGAGAGACACCATCCTACTCTTGGGACCACCAAGGGTTTTGGTTGTTTTCCAGAGGGACTGTCAAGTTCCTGGCTTGGGGAAGGGTGTTAAAATGCAGCTAGGTACAAAGATCCCCTAAAGGCATCTGGGATCTTCTGTCTGCACTCCATTCCTGGTCAGACCTCTTCCAGGCCTCTCCTCTGTTTTTATTTCTGCATCTGCCTCCTACCCTCAGGGAGAGATCTCCTCCTTTACAGGAGGCAGAAAACCTTGCAGTAGCTAGGGCATGGAGCTCAAGAGTTGCCCTAGGGAACACAGGCTAAGTTAGCTACATCGAGGAGAGAGGCCGGGATAGGAAGGGGTAGGTGTCTGGGGGTCTTTTCCCTTGCCGCCGAGACCTTTGACCCTAAGTCCCCTTTAACTTTCCTCTGCATTCCCACAAGGGCAGCCTAGCCTGATGCCTCTGGGGCTCCGCCCCACCACCCCCATGGTGTGTTGGGGGTCGTCTGGAGTCCATCTGGTAGCCGAATAGAAGCCACCCCTTTCCTGGTGCTGCCCCTCCCGGTGACCCCAATCCTCTGCCAGCCACTCAATGGTGCCTTGTTCTCTATCCAGCCCCCAGACAACAGTCCTTCTGTGCAAGAAGGCAGAATTGGGGGGGGAGGGGAGCCCCCAACAGGGACCATGTGGGGGCTTGTATAGACCCTAGGCGGAAGAGTGTGGAAGGAGGAGGGGGCCAGGACAGGGAGGAGGGCAGGGTGGGGGTTTGCTGTGTACAGGGGGGCTTATCTGCAGTGGAGGAAGGCAGTTTTAGCATCCACACCAACACCCACTCTGGAGCAGCCTCCCGTCAGCTCTGGATTCCTGGGAGAAACATGGCTCTGGAGCTACAGCCTGGTGCCCCCAAGCCAGTTCTGTTCCCAGTCTTCTAGGGCCTGGTCTGTGAGCCCCACAGCCACACCCCCCCACATCTGCCCACTGTGCAAGTGTGTCCTTCACATGGCGACTCTGGTCATGCCAGGGTTCTATTAACCCCTCAGCCTTGCCAACAAAGAATCCAGGAGAGACAGAGGGCTTTAATGCCTACAAATGCCAGCAATCCCACCCCCAAACAAAACCACAGCACACCTTTAGTCCCAGCACTTGGGAGGCAGAGACAGGTAGACCCCGATGATACCAAGGCCAGCCTGGTCTACAATGTGATGTGAGTTCCAGGCAAGCCAGGGCTACATAGTAAGACCCTGTCACAGACAAACTAACAAAGAAAAAGTCCCCCTGCAAGCCTAAATCAGAAAGGGGTCACACAGATGTTCCACCTTAACCTCCCTCCAAAAAGATAAGGATTGTCATTAAGGAGCTGGGAAGTGTCCCCATTCCGGGTCTCCTTTAGAGTTCAGGGGATTGAACAAAGCATATCCCCTGCTCTAAGATGCCCATCTCCAGCCCACCCTGCCCCCTTTCATCTCATCCGGGGCTACCATATCCAGAGAATGGGGAGAACTGTCTCTTTAAGGGAGGAATGGGGTGGGGGCGTCCCTGGCCTCAGGGAGACCTGACTTGTGCCTGCCTGCCCAGGTTTGCTCAGGGCGTGGCAGTTGTGGATAAAGGCTGCCCAGGCTTGGCAGTCCGCATTCTGCTTTCTCCCGGAACCACCTCTCAGCCTGTTGAGCTACTCAGGTGAGCGGCCCAGGGGCCCCTTCCTCCCAGGGGCCTCTGTCCCCCAACCCCCGCTCTCCTCTGACTGTTCCTGCTACACAGAAACGGGTGTTAAACACCCCAACGGTCTTCCAGCTTCAAGATTTCTTTTCTGGGGACAGGAGACTACCCTCTTCTGCCTCAGCGGTCTGTCTGTCCCTCATGGCTTGACTCTGTGGGACTGGACTAGACTACTAGGGTAACCCACCTGCTGGTCACAGTGGGAATCAGGGGAGACTTGGGGGGGGGGTCTGAGTGGATGAGAAGTCCGAGTTTGCCAGTGGTCTCTGAACCGGGTGGGGGGTCAGGGTGGACAGGAAGTGATTACACCATGTTATCACGATTGGGGGTTTCTCGGTGGGTGAGGTGTGGAGCGGTGTCTAGGGGTAACTGGGTAGACAAGGGGTAATTTAAATGTGTTGAGGGATGGAGCAGGTGGGGGCTGTGCCTGGATGAACAGGTATTGGGGCACACGATGATGAGAGGTGCTCTGCTCTAGGGAGGCTGTGAAGTAGGACTTGGTTAGGAGATGGCAAGGGTGTGTGCTGCATGCCCCTGCAGATGTGGCCATCCTCCTCCATCTTGGAGGAGGAGAAAGTACAGGAGGCAGTGGGGGGTAGCAACTGTCCTCTGACAGGAAGTAGATGAGGGTGGGTAGTGTCCCAGGCGAAGCTTGCTCTCTGTATGGTTCACTCAGAAGCGGGCAGGCTCTCCTCAGAGTACAGCGCTGGCAGGGCAGGATAGTGAGGGTAGAAGCTGCTAGCAGCTCCCGGCTCCCCGCAGCCCTGCAAACGCCCCGGTGGAGACAGCTGCATCAGGGGCTACAGAGGAAATTCCTGTCTTTCCCCACCCCTGCCCAGGCTCTCCAATTCTGGGTGGTTTCCAGGGTCTTGGAGAGGTCTGTAGGGAGAGGGGAGCCCAGTAGCCGAGATGACAGCATACGACGTTTCGGTGAATTCAGAAGTGAGGGCTGTGACAGCGATGTGGAGTAATGACAGTGCCGGCTTCACCGAGCTGTGGAGATGATAAATATGAGGGAGTCAGGTGGAACTGGGAAAAAGTGCCTGCATGGGCTAGGCACTCAGGAGCAGCCAGCTGCACAGCCAGCTGTTTTACACGCACCGCGGGCAGCCTCAGACGGCAGACACCCGTAGCTGGTACCCCACCACCACTCCAGCTCTTCATAGTGCTGGGGCTCTAGACATCTGAGACATAGTCCCCAAATCTACTGCAAAAAATATGTGCTCAGTCTAAAATGAGGGGTGTGTGTGTGTGTGTGTGTGTGTGTGTGTGTGTGTGTGTGTGTGAGATGAGTATTAAAGTCAGGGCCTGGAGAGCAGACTAAGCAAGCCTCCACTGATGGGCGCTCTCCGAGACCCTCACTGGGGGATTCTAGGCAGGGGCTCCGCCACTGAGCCACATCCCAGCCCCTCACTGGGGGATTCTAGGCAGGGGCTCTACCACTGAGCCACGCCCCCAGCGTCTCACTGGGTGATTTCTAAGTAGGGGCTCAACCACTGAGCCACGCCTCAGCCCCTCACTGGGGGATTCTAGGCAGGGGCTCCGCCACTGAGCCACACCCCAGCCCCTCACTGGGGGATTCTAGGCAGGGGCTCCGCCACTGAGCCACACCCCAGCCCCTCACTGGGGGATTCTAGGCAGGGGCTCCGCCACTGAGCCACACCCCAGCCCCTCACTGGGGGATTCTAGGCAGGGGCTCCGCCACTGAGCCACACCCCAGCCCCTCACTGGGGGATTCTAGGCAGGGCTCTACCACTGAGCCACACCCCAGCCCCTCACTGGGGGATTCTAGGCAGGGGCTCCGCCACTGAGCTGCATCTGCCGTCCTCTTTTTACTTTTTATTGTGTGACACCTCACTACATTGTTCAGACTGGCCTTATACTCTGTATTGGCTGTGAATTATCATCTCTTCCGCCTCAGCTTCCCGGTCAGTTTGCATGACAGGCCTGGACCGAATTCAATGACTAGAGAAGCTGAAAGGTTTCCCAGGCCTCTGGGGGTGAGCCCAGGGAAATGGAGAAGTCTGTGTGAGCATATGGGACACCCCTGCACCATCAGTGGCTGGCTCTATTCTTTCCAAGTGTGTGTTTTCATGTGGGTAAAAAAGGGTTAGCTCAGAAGGGTGACATTGGGACTGGTAGCGATTGAAAAAGGAACCTACAAGGTCACTGGACAGTGTCCAGCATGTGGGAAATGGGGACTGTGTGTGTGTGTGTGTGTGTGTGTGTGTGTGTGTGTGTACACGAGCTCACGACGGTGAGCAGGGCAAGTAGGGGATACAGAGACAAGTTGCTGATTACAGGCCTTCAGGGTGACAGAAAGGCAGACCATTAGGCCAGGGCTGTATGGAAGGGGCTCTGTGCTGAGTGAGCCTCACTGGGGAACTATGGAGTGTTTGTTGCTGAAAGGAAAGCCTCACAGGGCCAGGGGCTGGGCTAAGGAGCAAGAGCAGAGGCCTAGTCAGGGATGAGGGCCAGGGTAGGGGCCAAAGACTGGACTTGAGCTGGGCCTGGAGAGAAAGCTCAGTGGGGTCTGACCCAAGGTTGGGGCAGAAAGTGAGGGTAAAACTGAAGCCAGGGTCCCCCTCTGCACACGCCCCACCAACTTGGCATCATTTCTGCCATACACCCACCCAGGAGCCCAGGAAGTCAGCTCGGGACCCAGCTAGAAGCCTGCAGCGTGTGGGCAGAGCCGGGCAGGCTCCAAGCTGTCTGTGGGAGCCACGCCCAGTACCCGGGCCTCTTGCCACCTGGCTCCTGACACCCTGCTCCCCAAAACACCCCGAGGCCCTCATGGTTCTAGTTATAAACAGCTAGCGGGGAACGGGGCGTTGTTAAACCCTGCCTTCCGGACCAAGCGATTGTGGGCATGAACTTTCACCTCTCAGAGCCCCAGTGCCCCCATCATACAGATAGGGACCACATGCCGAATGTGAAGGTGTGCACCTCTAACCCCAGCACTTGGAGAGCGGAGGCAGGAGGATGGCAAATTCAAGGCCAGCCTGGACGTAGCAAAAACACCACTCCACCTCTCGTCTCCAAGAAGAACCTAAAGTCACTGTCCCGGGAATGGCAATGGCTGTCCCTTCATGGTTCCTGGGTGCTCACCCAGCCCCCACTTGACTTTGGGGCTCCTTATCTCCCAGTGAGCTGCAGTCACTAGCGGCCTTCCCATGTGTTCCTTGGGCTGTGCCCCTGGTGAGAAACAGGTGGGGTAGGGAAGCAGAGGTTGCAAGGCTGTGCATCCGGGTCTCTGCTAACGCTCTGCTTGTTCTCTGGGCTCCTCTAGACACACGCTGCAACATGCAAGAGGTTGCTCTGAGCCTGTTGCTCCTCCTAGTGGGTGAGTAGCTGGTCACCAAGCTGCCCTTTCCCCTGGGCCTGTCAGCTGGGTGGTGACAAGCTGTGGTGTGTGTGTGTGTGTGTGTGTGTGTGTGTGTGTGCGCGCGCGCGCACGCGCGTGTGTGCGTGTAACTGGAATACCCCGTGCCTCAGTTTCCCCCTCCTCTGAGAACAGCACTTAGTCACAGAGACTTTGTAAGGCTTCAATACATTAATGTTTGAACATCAGTGCAACAGGGCCTGGGTGGAGTGGGCCCCAAGAATTCGTGCCTCAAATATAATTAAGCATTGTTTTTCTCCCGTTAGCAAAACTCAGCCAGCATTTAATCCTTGGTCCTTGCCTTTGTGTGTTTTCCCCTTCTTTCCTCCCTCTGCCTCTTTCGTGTGTGCATGACTGACTGTGTTCACGTGTGTGCAGCTGTGCCTATGTGTGTGTGTCTGTGGGTGTGGCAGCCGGGGGACACTTTTGGGCATCATTTCTGAGGTGCTATCCACGTTTTCTTTCTTTTTTTTTTTTTAATTTTATGTGTGTGGATGTTTTGCCGTTTGCCTGGTGACTGTGGAAGCCAGAAGAGGGTGTCAGATCCCCTTTGGAACTGGAGTTACAGATGTTTGGGAGCCATCATGCGGGTGCTGGGAACTGAACTTGGGTCTTTGCAAGAGCAATCCAAGTTCTTAACCACTGGGCCATCTCTCTCTGGTTCCCCCCCCCCCGCCCCCTTTTTCTGCTTTTTACTTTACCATTCTTTGGGCACACATTGCATTCTATCTGGGATGTAAGAATGGATTGACGTTGCCAACTGTGAGTTATTTCAAAGGGGTCAGCAACCCTGCTAACCGTGGGCTGTGGCTGTGCAGAGCTGCGGGCATTGCTGGTGTGAAGAAAATTGTTCTGGGAACAGAAACCATCTGCCACCTGGAAGAGCAAAGTCTCTCTAGGAGGAGGCATGGCCCAGCCGAGTGTCTGGAAACATTCGCTCAAACAGTGCCAAAACGTACCGGAATAGGATCTGTTTCCGGTGGCAAAATGCTGGCATGACTCACAGGCGCATGCCCAGGTGGGACTAGCCAGTGGCTAAGTCCTCACTTTGGAGGTGAGGCTGTTCCGCTATGGAACATTTTTCCTCAGGCAACAAACCCCCATGGTTCCTGCTGAGGGCTCTTCTACGACCATCATAGTATGACTTGTCCTTACTTGTCCCCACAGGCCTGCCTTCTCTGGATGCCAACGATCCCGAAGGTGAGTCAGAGCCCACCCCTCCATGCCCCTTACCCCAGATCCCTGCTATTGTCTCAGATTCATGTGTGTCCTGTCTCTCTTTGCAGATAAGGATAGCCCTTTCTACTATGGTAAGAGCCGTGTCCCCTCTTTGCTTCTTTCCACATTATTTTGTGCCAAGTGTCTCACACGAGGGTGGCTGACAGTTCACGGAGACCCAGGGACCAGGATAGGAGAGGGTTTGAAATGGGTTGTTGAGCATGCAGATAGATTAAAGGAATCAGCCACGAGGGAGAATTCAAGACAGACACAGGCCTGAGTCCCGTCTGCAAGAGGCATTAGGTTTAGACTAACCACAGAATGCTGGTCATGAAAATCGTACCAGAGAAGGTAGGGAATTCTACCCCATACCTGTCCACTTCCAGCTTCTTCCAGGAGCTGTCACTTGCCCCCCTGGCCTCTCCTCCACCGATCCTCACCCCTGCTTCAGCTATCATCCTCAGATACAGAAGGCAACTTCCAACCTCATGACCTGTGCACCTGCTGGTCCTTCCTGGACCGCTGTCTTCCACGTGTCTTCAGGGCCACCTCTGCCTTCCTGCAGCTCTCCATCCCAATGGGACCTTCTCAGAGAGCCCTTGCTCCACCGCTCTCTCTAAAGACCCACATCTTGACTTTCCGTCCCTCACACTGATCCTTTCCCTTCAGATGGCTTCTCTGTCCCTGAATGGACATGGACTTTCTCGTTTGCTTGGATATAAACTGCAATGTATGCCCCACTGGGCTGGGGTTTTGCTTTTCCCTTTTACTGCTGTCAAGTGAGTGGGGAGCTAAGTGGGGGTGGGGGGATCTGGGCTAGCTTTGACATTTTCTGTTTTCCTCTCAGACTGGTACAACCTCCGAGTCGGCGGGCTCATCTGTGCAGGGATTCTCTGTGCTGTGGGCATCATCGTCCTCTTGAGTGAGTACAGGAGGGACGGGGAATCGGGGGTTAACAGGGAAGGGACTATGTGTTCCTTCCTCTGACCACATCCATCTCCAACAGGTGGAAAGTGCAAATGCAAGTTCAGCCAGAAGCCCAGGTGAGATGGGTTCTGGGCACACCCAAAAAAGGCTAAGCCTTGTGCAAAGAGGACAGGCCTGGGTGCTCTGCCCCGAGGTTTCCTGGGCTTTGCTCCATGCAAATTATCCTAAGGCTTTGGTCCATAGCTTTGTACAAACCTACAGTGGAAAACTAAGAAATGGTCTAGCTAAGAAATGGTCTAGCTAGGCAAGCTGAGAATCCCTTAGCCCCGAGGGAGAGGGCAAATGGGTGATTTATTCGTATGTTATCACTTCTATTTCCCTAGTCACCGTCCAGCGGATGGGCCACCTCTCATCACACCTGGTAAGACACTTAGGATGACTGCAGGTTGTGGATGGGGTAAGGGTCACAAGTGGTAGCTGGGGCCAGAGTGTGCCTGCACTGGGGGGAAGGGGCTGGACAGACCCTTGCGAATTGACTCTATCCCTTTACCAGGCTCTGCTCACAATTGCTGAAGAGGAACCAGTTGAAGAGCACAGAATGCCTTTGAGCCCAGGTCCTGGCTCTGGAAGTGAGCCTGAATTCCAAGACGGCTGTCCTGTCCGTTCTTGACTCTGCCTTCCCCCGGGCCTCATCTTACCTCTCGTGGTAGCAGGCTCTTTGTTCAGTTGTTAACCTAAAATAATTTTACATCGTGCTCAGGTGAGCTAGAGACCGCGTGTGCATTCTGGAGTATGGCAGTGGGCGGCGAGGAAGTGGGCAGGTGTTGGGGTGGGCCTTGATGAGGTGGGCACTTGTGTGTGCAGCAGTCGGTGGCTGAGTCTCGCTTAGACCTTGGTGTCGTGGCTTGATGGTAGGTATGAGACTTCCCTCTCTGACCATGGGCAGCCTCCTGTGTCACTTAAGATGTTCTAGTGGTAAACTAGGGACAATTGTGGGTGTGAAAAAAGAACCCTAATCGCACGCAGTGTGGGTGTTCTGGTTGACATTGAGAATAACTATATAACAGGGTCATCCTACCATGTCCCCATGTTGGAGACACTCAGTTTAGCCCCTGCAGTAACCTTCTCATTCATTGTGAGACCTCACTTTATCATGAGACCTTTCCATATACCACCTGTCCCTGGGAAGCCTTTAATTCCCCCAGAATACACCTAACACTATACAGTGGTTACACGGAGTGAGACCCTCCACTAACCCCAGGTTTGAGGCTGCCAGTACCCTGATGTCAAGGCCTCCGGAATGATGCCATGTAACATTGGGAAAATGCCTAAAACCTTTCAAAGCAAAGTTCTTGCCCAGGATCCCATCCAGCGCCATCATCACTGCCACTCAACAACATTGACAAGACTTTCCTGCCATGAGCCCACAGACTGGGCAGGTTCGGAGCGCAGGGCATTTATTGAATGGATACATTTTCTGTTCTTGCCCTGTCACATTCTGGGAACCGGGTGCCCAGGGCTTTCTCCGACACCTCCAGACTCATCTTTACCATTTCACTTTTTCTGCGCACGTGTAAAAGCAACAAAACACCAGCGATCAGCCTTTGGCAGCAGACATGCGCACAAGCAGCAAAGTGCCAGGCCCGGAAACTGCCCAGCAACTGTGACGTCACAGAGATGCGTACTCCTCCACGAAAGCCAATGGCCAGGTTGGGTTTGAGTGGAAAAGAAAGCTCTCTCTCGGTACTTTATATGGAGCAGGACCAAGGGGTCGTTGAGGGTGGGATATCCAGACCTTTTGGAATTCAGTAGATTGTCTTTTTGATTTCTGTAATCCCAGCTCCAGGCTGAGCTCCCAAGTCTTTGCCTGTGGGAGCACCTGTCCTCAGGCAAAAGGAGACTTCGGACTGCAAGGGCCCCAAACGTTGTTGGAAGCAGGTAGACTTCCTCCCGTTTGCCTCTAAGGTGCCCATCCTTCAAACCGTAGGCTAAGCCTGACTCAGGCTGATACATTTGAATAGTGGTCTGTATCACACAGGACCAACTGGCTGTGATGGTCAGGCCGTCAGGCCGGAGAGGGTACCCAAATGTCGCAGGAAGCCCTTGTCAGCCCCACAGCCACTTCCAGGGTCCTGCCCAGCCTTAGGCACTGAGATCCAACTCGTGGTGCTGGTAGATCTGCGTGGGACCCTTGAAGCATGCTGCGAATAGAAAGCGTTTTCCTGCTATGGTGACTTGGGCAAAGGCTCGGGGGGCCACCAAGGCCGGGGGTCCCAGCTCCTGTAGTGGCTCCAGGATCCCTTTATCCGGCTCGAGACGGAAAACCTGACTGAAGGCAAAGTCGCTGCCAAGGATGGCCAACTGGTCTCTGGCAATGAGCAATGGCTGGAAGACATGAGCACCTCGAGACGGAAGCTGCTGTAGCAGGCGGAACATGGATCCATCCCAGCGCATGACCTGCAGGGTGTGGAAGCTAGTTAAACCCTGGGTCAAGAGGCACTGGGCCTGCCTGTCAGCCTCAAGCCCTAACATGAGCCTGTAGGTCCTCAGTTTCACCATACTGTACTGAGATGACAAGCGTGTGACACCAACACTATGTCCAGCAGCTTTCTTAATGTATAGATAACATTTATCTGCTCAGAGCAGATCATTGTTCTAGACCTTTCTCCCTTGAATGCCATGCAGAGTGCCGAGCAATGGTCTGTTGATTTTACTGTTATGTGTTACATCTAGCCCATCTGTTCTGGCCATACCCCGACCCAGCTTCCTCCTTCTCCAGCCTCCTGATCCCTGACACCCATTCTTATCTCCAGTGTTTTCCCCTGGAGACCCTTCAAATAGCTGAGTTAGGAGGGATCTGTCCCTGACTGTACCTCGTTCTGAAAAGCGAGCCCCAGAGGTGGTAAGCAGAGTCTAACACCAGCTCAGGCTCGAGGGTGTAGCATCCCAATGGGAGGGGAGGGGTTGGAGTTCACTACCATCCTGGAATGTTCTAGAGTTACAGAGCCAAGCTTAGCAGAATAGAGTTAAGTTTAGCGGAGCAGGTCATGTTGGCACATGTCTGTTACACCAGTGCAGGACTGACTGAATCATGTGATTGAGGCCATCCTGGACTACATATTAAGACCCTCTCTGAGTCTCTGCCTCGGGCTGTAGTTCAGGAGGCAAGATCTCCCTTAGAATTCACCAGTTGATGGTTGGGAGTATAGCTCAGCTGTAGAACTTTTGCCTGGAATTCACTAGAAGAGGGCTGGGTGTGTGGCTTAGTGGGGCTTGCTCGCCTAGGATTCATGAGGAATTGGTTGTGAAGGAGGCTCAGTGATAGAAACCGTGCCTGGAATCCACCAGTGAGAAGCTGTGCTGAAACAGTGTGGTCCAGCCCCCCTGTCAAATGAGGGTCAGCATTTGTGACCAGGCCTGGCTTCCATTGCCTGCCCCCAGCCTCACCATGGAGTCCCCAATATATCGAGTCAGGCACAGGAACACGTCTCCACCGGCCTGAAAGTGTTTCGTGGCGTAGACATCCTCGGCCTCTGGGATGTCTGTGCGCCTCTCGAAGCGGCCACCGAACCAATGGAACAGCACCGGCCTCTGGGAGGCCGAAGCAAGCAGCAGATGCGGTCGGCCATCCAGCTCCAGGGTCTCAGCGTCCGTGTCGCGGTGCCAGGCGTGCAGGCTCTGGCGTGGGTAGAAGCCGTGCCCGTCGCGGCATAGCAGCGTGGTGCTACCAGCTTTGGAGGCATCAGCCACCACGAAGCAGGGCTGCCCATCCAACCACAGGAGCTCGGCGTCATTGGGTCGCAGAAGTCGTTGAGGGGCTAGGACCTGCACTGGGGCCAGACGCAGGTCGGGGCTGGTCCGAGACCACAGATGTGAGCCTCCCCACAGGCGGGCAGCCAATATGAAGAGGCGTGGACCCAGCACCAGAGGTTTGCAGGAGACTACGGAGGGCGCTGTAGGGAGAGTGGGACACAGTCAGGCTCAGTGGCAGTCTGGGGACAGGAGGGAAGGGGCAGGAAGGGAGCTCACCAGACAGCTCTTCTTCAGGCCGGAAGCGCTGCAGGCTATAGTCCCAGACCAGGATCAGGCAGCGGCCAGCGAAGGGCTGTGCCAGGATCATGTGAGGCTCCCCCTGGTAGGAGAAGGACTCCACGCTCAGTGCCGACTCCCCAACAGTCTGGAGCCAGGACAGTTCTAGAGGCAGCAAGAGAGTCAGGTGCCTGGTGGTGGGCAGGGGACCTTATTGCTGAGCCTTGGTTAACACATCTTTGAAATGAGAATTCATGGTGTTCATCACATCAGGACCTATAGAATGGAACCTTTTCGTCTATAGCTGTGTTAACTCTCAGAAACAGGAACATCTTTAACAGGAACATCTTTTTTTTTTTTTCAAAGCTATATAGCATCATCAACTAGTCTCTTAGAAACTGTCTTAGACAGATGTTGTGACACACACTTATGATGGCAGCCTTGGGGAAGCTGAGGCAGGAGGATCTCTGGTTGCTGGTTAACCTGAGCTACATAGTGTGATCCTGTCTCAAAAACACAAACAGCACGTTTAGTTACTCAGTTAACTTTACAGCAGCATTCCTGAGAGCTTCACTTTGTTACCATGAGGACCTGAGGATAAAAGTGGGCCAGGCAGCCAGCTGGCCAGCAACACTCATCCTCCCCAGCTGGAGCTGGGGCACAGAAGGCAAGCCTGTCAACCCAGCTACGCAGGAGACGGAGCCTGTCTGGGATACAGGAGTTCAGGATAAACCTGGCAACTTAATAGCAGACCTTATCTCAAAACAAGTAAAGTAAACTCAAAACAAAAAAAGTAAAAAACAGGCTGGGATGTATGTAGCTCAGTGGTGAAGCCCCTGACTATAGTCTTCCAGTGAGGGGTTGGGGGCGTGGCTCAGTGGTAGAAACCCTGCCTAGAATCCCCCAGTAAGGGGCTGGGAGTATGACCCAGTTAGAACACCTACTAGAATCCCCCAGTAAGGAGCTGGGGGAGTGGCTCAGTTGTAGAGCCCCTGCCTAGAATGCCCCAGTGAGGGGCTGGGGGTATAGATCAGTAGTGGAATAACATGTGGAATGCTCAGAGTTTAATCCCTAGTATCTCTCTCTCTCTCTCTCTCTCTCTCTCTCTCTCTCTCTCTCTCTCACACACACACACACACACACACACACACAAAGCACTTTTTTTCATGAAGCAGGGAGATGACCATCAGACAGCCCAGCCAGGATGTTCTAGCAGCCCTACTCAAACATGATATCCCCAGATAATCATGATCAAGTTCACAACGGACGGGAAGTGTGATGTTCCCGTCAGTGTGTGAACATGACTTTTCCTGGACCTGGCCTCTTTCTCCTGCTTTTGTGCCACACCCGAAAGCATACGGAGATGCCACAGCCTGACTTGAACCATAAAAACAAGGGCAACAACAAGGGGCTACCCCACCCATGCAGAGGAAAGGCCATCTGCTCCCATTTGTGTTTATGTATGAGGTTGCATGACACGTGTAGAGGTCAGAGGGCAAGTGTGAGAGCTAGTCTCTCCTTCCATCGTATGGGCTCTGGGAATTGAACCCAGGTCCTTATTCACAGAGCCATCTCACCAGCCCAGGAAATTCTTTTATTTTTATGTTGTGTGCAATGTTTATCCAGCATGCTCGTCTGTGAGAGGCTGTCAGATTTCAGACTTACAGACCAGTTGTGAGCTGCCTGCCATGTGGGTGCTGAGAATTGAACCCTGGTCCTCTGGAAAACCAATCAGTGCTCTTAACCACTGAGCCCTCTCTCCAGACCCCCAGGAGGTTCTTTAATTCACTCTCCAGGTTGTCAGTGAGAGACGGTACATTGGTAGTATGTCACCCTGTATACCAGGCCCTGTTCCTAGGTGGCAAGGTTAAAACAGTAAGCTAAAACAGGGATGGATGTTCACACAAAGGGAATCTCATTTTGATTTTGAAGTAGAACTTCACCATGTAGCCCACACTGCCCCCAAGTTCACAATCTTCCAGCCTTAGCAGTTCCAGTGCTGGATTGCAAGACAAGTATGTACTACAAAGCCCTGCAGAATCTTTAAAAAAAGAAAAAAAAATCCTTTAAATCAGCCCTTCCTGGGCTGGAGGGACCAGGGGAGGGGGGATAGCTCAGTGGGTAAGGGCGCTTGCCACCAAGTCTGATGGAGCTGAATTTAGTCCCAGAACCCAGTGGTGCAAGGACAGAATATTAATTCCCACTTGTCCCTGAACTCTGTGCGTGTGCCATGCATGCATGTGTGATACACACACAGCCACCACTCCCCCACACTCATATTTTAAAACATAAATGAAGCTGGGCATTGGTGGCACACACCTTTAATCCCATCACTCGAGGCAGAGGCAGGTGGATCTCTGTGAGTTCGAGGCCAGTCTGGTCTACAGAGTGAGTTCCAAGACAGCCAGAGCTACCTAGAGAAACCCTGTCTCAAAAACAAAAACAAGCAAATGTGAGCGAAAACCATATTACGTGCTGTTTGTATCCTTCCTTGGCTTCCCTGGAGGCTCTGGGCTTCCTCGGATGCTAATGCTTTCTCGGGTCCTGACCTCACACCTACCCTAGACTCTGCCTGTGCCTCCTCATTTTAGAGGGATTGTTCTGGACTGTTTGGGATTGACTGCCTTCTCAACAGTAGCCTTGGGGAGGGAGCGCGAAACCCAGGGCCAGTCAGCGAGTCACTGCGGTCCTGCAGGACCCATCATTCAGAAAAAAATGTCATGATATAATCTATGCATTTGTGGAAAAGCTCAAAGAAGACAAGCTCCAGGGAGGAGGGAGGTGCCCACAGCTCCCGGCACAAAATGGGTGCCAAGGAGGGGTATTTAAAAGTGTCATATTAACCATACCAGGGGATGCTTACAAAACCCTCATGGAAGCCCTGCGTATTGCTGCCGGCAGTCACCAGCACTTGGGGGGGGGGAGGGGGGTCTGAGACCAAGGGACTGCTACAAGTTTGAGGCAGCTTGGGTTACATAGTGAGACTTTGTTTCAGAAAATCAAACAAAAACAGCAACAAATAAGGGCTGGAGAGACCGCTCAGGGTTACCGGGAGCAGGGTTTTTTTTGTTTTGTTTTGTTTTTTTTTTTTTTCCTGCTCCTGCAGAGAACTGGAGTTCCGGTCCCCAGCACCCATGCAGGCCAGTTTCCGACTGCCTACAATTCTAATTCCAGAGGATTCAACATCTGCACTTGAATGCACATACCCATACACAGACACACACACCTACATATAATAACAACAACAACAACAATAATAATACAAAAACCTCTTGTCCCAGAACTGGTACGGAAAGCTGTGCAGAGACCAAGTTGCGATTCATGCTTGCAACCCCTGCACACAGAAGGCAAGGGGGTCACAAGTTCAATGACAGCTTTGTCTGTGAGTCAAGAGCCTACCAAACCGTAAAGAAAAATATTGCCCAGCGTTTAATCCTCCCAGAGAACGGCCATCACTGTTTACAACCCTGCTTTACAAATGAGGAAACTGAGACCCAGGGAAGGTATCTCCATCTCCAAAGCCCTATGGCTGCCTCCACCCAGGCCCTGTGGGCCCTCCCACTGCTGAGGAGTGGGGGAGGGGAAGGAAGCTGTCACCTGTGGCTCTGCACTTGAACTTCTTAGGGTCAAGGTGACTCAGTTGCATTTGGGCCAGGGCAGAGGGGCCTGCACAGGTCCCCAGGCCCACACTGGCATTCACCGTAGGCATCCACTGAAGCAGCCACAGTACTCGGCAGTCACACTGGAACGGGTTCCCACGCAGGTCCCTGGGGCAAGAAACGGGGAAGAAGCTGTGTCCCAGGTTCTCTGAGGCTTAGAGGCAGGTGAGGGTGTAGGAGGATACCCTCAGGTGACCGGAAAGTATAAGCAAAGCATACCCGTGCATGCTAGCCCAAGGAGGCCCGGCTCTCCCTCTCTGTAAGCATCCACCCCCCCCCCCCAAGCCTGAGCTCACACATGAGTCAGAGTGTCCAGGCCTCGAAACAGGAATCTGGGGAGCGCCTCGAGGTGGTTGTTGGCCAGGCTTCTGATGGAGCAGGAGAAGAAAGAGTGTCAGCTGTGGCCAGCAGATGCTATGGCCTTGAGGGATGTCGGGTGCCTATGGGGGAGGACCGGGCTGTGGAAGTACACACAGGTGTGTGAGCGAATGGAGTCCCCTCAGGGCGTTCTTGGAGATGGAGCCAATCTTGTTGTCTTCAATGAAGCTGTGGGGAGAGGGTGGACTGAGTAGGAGGCCCACAGTGCTGGGGAAACCAGCCCGAGGAAGCCACCGGAAAGGCTTCTTTTTCCTCTCTCACCTGGAATGGCCATACCTTCCCTCAGCGCCCATTGCCAGAGCCTACACCAACAACACAGATAGTGTCACCAACATCACACCTTCGTGACCAGAACCGGGACTGCTGCTGCCATGACACCAACGCTGCCACCATTGTTACAAACCTCAGCTGATACCTACAGTGTCGCTGTCACCACCAACACTCGGTGTCTTCATCATCAACGGTAAACCCAGAGCCAACAACACCATCAAAACTAACAACAGGGCTGGGCACGGCTCTGCAGGTAAAGGCAGTCACCGTCATGCCTGATAACCCAGGTTTGATCCCCAGAACCCGTGTTGTCATCTGACTTCTACATGTGGATCATGACACATACACTGTTACCCCCCCCATAAATGCAACATTTTAAAGAAGCATGACCTCTGGGCTAAGGCGTGCCTTAGAGATAGAGCCCCTGCCTAGAATCCCCCAGTGAGGGGCTGGGGTGGGCTCAGTGGTAGAGCACCTGTCTAGAATCCCCCAGTGAGGGGCTGGGGTGTGGCTCAGTGGTAGAGCCCCTGCCTAGAATCCCCCAGTGAGGGGCTGGGGTGAGGCTCAGTGGTAGAGCCCCTGCCTAGAATCCCCCAGTGAGGAGTTTTTAACTACTGTCCTAGCATGCCCAAAACCCCAGTTTCCAAAAACAAATAGAAAAGAGCTCCCGCCAACATTCTACCCGTAGCCGTGACCAGCATCAACGCACACCATAAGCACATGCACCTACACTGATAATCACCATACACGCCAGCCCCACACACCTAATAGATATCCCCAATAACACCAACAGTATCGTTGCAGCCATTTTGGTCAGCAGCCCCCATAGTCAGTCAGCACTGGAAGGAGATTGCAGGCCGGGTGCAGAATGAAGATTAATACAAATAGGTTGGTTTAAGTTGTAAGAGCTAATTAGCAATAAGCCTGAGCCACCAACCATGCATCGGAACTGGCCGGTGGGAAAGAGACTTCCCTGCACACACCATTTCTCTTTCATCAGTAATAAGGGCCACCCCTACAGACATATTCACAGCAGCAGCATCACACCACAGCCCTGTCATGCAGCCATCCCCTCTCTGGCACTGCCACCACACTCACATGGTCACTGCACAGCTCCAAGTGGTTTCCGGTAATTTCAAATATTCCCTGCCACTGACCTCTTTGTACACCCTTTCCTGGAATCCCCCTGCATCAGGGCAACTGAATCTGGCTATCTAAGTCCCTTGCTGATTTTTTGGTTTCCAGGGCTGGGACTGAAACCCAGGGTCTCACCCATGGTAAGCAAGCGTCTACTCCCGAGATGGCAACCCTAGTCTCTTGTTTTATTTTATTTCCTTTCTTATTATGAGACAGGGTCTCACTGAGTTGCTCTGGCTAGCCTTGAACTCACTCTTTAGCCCAAGGAGGCTTTGAATTAGGTATCCTCCTGCTTTAACCTCCTGAAGCTAGCAGGCCCAGCTTCCTTTGTGAATCTTGAAGTACGCAGAAGTGAGATTCATTTCCAACCAGTAGCCCCTGAGCTGTCCTTCCTCCTAGGGACCTGCCAATGGCCAGATGCCCCTTCCCCAGACGGCCTCCCTTTGTCTTCTTACACTGGGAGTCTCAGAGAGGCTTGCCTGCCCCTCCAGACCCCCTTTCCCCAGCCTCTGGCGGTACTCACAGGTACTGCAGGTAGGATAGGCCGCTGAAGGCATCATCCTCAATCACGGAGAAGGTATTGGATGTGAAGAGCCTGGCAAGGGGTGCGGCGAAGCAGATGTTTTCAGAGCTGCAGACCGGTGTCTGTGGCTCTATTCTTAGCCCCCATCCAACCCGAAGACACATGCAAGCGTGGGCGTATGTGAACAGACACAGGTGTTTGCATAAATACACATGACGTGCACATGTCCTCATACGTGTCTGAACACCCACCATGGATGCGTGCATCTCTCTCTCTCTCTCTCTCTCTCTCTCTCTCTCTCTCTCTCTCTCTCTCACACACACACACACACACACACACACACGGACACCCATTTCCTTGAACAGTGGGTGGTGGGCCCAGCCAGACTATACTCACAGCAGGTGTAAGGATGGCATCTTCATGAAGCTACCAGCCTTCAGCTGGGAGACCCCCATCCTGACGAGGGAGCTGGGGACATGGGTGAGATCAGTGAGCAGAAAAACCACTCCAATTTTCCTCTCTTAAAGCAGAGCCCCGGGCTGCTCTGGAGGCCCTGGCCTTCCACGTTGAGCCTGGGGGTACCTCCAACTGCCCTTTACCCTGCCCTCCGCCATGACCCCCTCCGCACAAGCACAAGCCCCTGGCTGTTGCTCTTCCTGTCGGGACTCTCCCAGTGGGCACCTTTCCAAATCTCAGCAGCCCTCTTCCACACATCCAAGAATCCTTCGATGTCCAAGATTCTGACAGAGACCCCAGCACCACACCCCAAGGCCCCAGGCCTCCTCCCTCCCTTTGGGCCCACACAGGGTCTGGCACTCACAGTGACAGCAGCGTGGTGGAGAGGCTGTCGGGCAGCTCGGTGGAGCCCTCACACAGGGTGCTGTCCTTGGAACAGGAGCAGCGTGGAGGACACTTTCCCTTGGGGGGACTCCAGGCTGCTCCTGCCCCAGCCCCGGCCAACAGCAGCAACAGAATGCCTGCGCCTCCCATGCCCCCTGCCCCTGCCCAGGTCCCACTGACCCTGTCCCGCCAGACTGCAATCACTGCATCCTTGTGGGCTGCCCCTCCATCCTGCTGCTGGCCATGCTGTCCTGTAGCTGGCTGGCCTCCTTGTTCTCTCTCTCAGCCTGTCCCTCTCTCTCTCTGGATCTGGAGGGTGGGATTTGCTGTCAATATCTTTATCTCCCTATCATTCTGTTTCCCACCCCTGCAATCTCTTGTCCATTTCTGTCTTTGTCTGTCTGTCTCTGGTTCAGCTTCTAGATCTCTGGTGTGTGTGTGTGTGTCTGTGTCTGTGTCTGTGTGTCTGTCCTTGTCCTTCTGCCTGGTGTCATGTACCTCTCACCTCCCTGCCCTGTTGAAGTTTCCAGTACTTTCTGTGAGTCCTCCCACACTCCTGCTCCACTTGCTGTGGCCTGGGATGTGCCCAGCAGAAGGGTAGGAAGGAGGGGGTCAGAGGCCATAGGAAGAAAAGGCCCAGGGAAGGGACTGAATGGCCTTTGAGGGGGCGGGGCTGCCAAGGGCGTGACCCACCCTAGGCACTTCCAACCAACCCCCTCATCAGAGTCCCCACTCAACCCCAGTTGGGGAGAGTGGGAAGGATGTCCCCAGGGTGGAGAGCAGATGGCTCTGCAGACTGCGGATGGGAGGGGCTAGAGGAGAAGTCAGTGGGGGATGGGGGGTATCCTAGCTGTCCCGCCAGCCCCTTCTCTTAGAGGGTGTGGTCCGCTCTGTCACCAAGGCACCACCAGGCCAACACTGGTCCAGCTGCTCCCCCTGGTGGTCACCCTTGGCAGGACAACCAGAGCTCTCTCCAGATCCCCGTAATTAACTCTATGAAAGCCAAGATCCGATACTGAATGTAAGAATTAACAGTGATGATGCTGCCTCTCTCTTCCACACCAAATCGATCGACCTTTGCCCTAAAACTTCACCACCAGCAGTCGAATCTTTTCTGGCCCTCAGGCCAGTGTCGTTTGCATGACTAATTCACAGTGAAGAAAGGTCAGGGGCTCAGGGTGGCCCCGCCCAGTGGAGGAAGAGTCAGGATCCAAATCGGGGAAGCCGACTCCAGGTTCCCTCTGTATTGTCCTGCATCCTTTCTTTAGAGGCTGAAATTTGTGGACATGTGCACAACTGGATGTTTTCAGATGAAAGCTTTCAGAAACTCGGACATATTCTCTTCATTAACTGAGAACGATGTGTAAATCACACATAACCAGTGGGTTGACCCTCCCACACCCCTCGAGCTATGTGATAATCGTTTATATGTGTTTGCGTGTTTGTTTGAGACTGGCCTGGGACTCATTTTGTAGTTCAGGCTGCCCTCAAATGCAACATTCCCCTGGCTTAGCCTGCCTGGTGCTGGAATGACAGATGGGCACCTCCACACTGTGTGCCAGGTTTTACGTGTGTTAGCTCACTGACGTCACAGCAACCTTGTGAGGTGTGGGGCTGGGGTACCACTGTTCCTGCTTTACAATCCCTTCTCCAAAAAACGGGGCACTCTTAAATGATTAGCTTCCCCGGGGGACAATTGGTTCTGGAGTAATAGTAACAACCACTTTGCTGCCTGGGGCCAGAAGGCAGAGGAATGCACAGCCTCTTTCCACGGAGGTACATTGGAGGACAGGAGCCAAACAGATCCTGGGTCCAGCCCAGTACTGTGTTGCCTCAGTCAAGTTACTTGACCTCTCTGTTCCTTCGTTTCCTTATTTGTCAATGAGATCATTCGTATTATCCATGCTCAGACTGAGGAGATGGATGGCTCTGTGAGCTAATAAATCAGATCCCCTCTTTGGGGTTCAGTCAGGCGTGGGGGCAATTCTCTTGTACAGAGTCTCACAAAACTCAGGCTGGCCTTGAACTTGCTGTTTAACCAAGGATGGCCTTGATCTCAGAACCCTCTGGGAATAAGCATGCATCATCACTCTCCCAGGTTCTGTGGTGCTGAGGACTCAGCCCAGGACTCCATGACTGCTAAGGAAGCACTCTGCTCACAGCCACATCCCCAGCCCTATACGGGAATTCACAGTGGTGACGGCCCAGGTAACCCCAGCACTCAGAGGGTAGAGGCAGTCGGATCAAAAGTTGGAGGCTAGTCTAGGCTACACAGTAAGTTGGAGGCCAACCTGGGGTTGTGGAACAAGAGCCTGTCTCAAAACAAGCAAAAGCAATTGAAAAAGTTTTCGGCTAGGGATGCAAAGGGGACAGTGTCAGGCCTGAACCATTCCAACAGGTTCTCACTCCCATTTGTGGCTAGAAAGATGGCTTTTACAGTGAAGACAGGGGTAACTGGGTACAAACAAACATTTACTGTGCACCAGCCTTGCAGTAAGAGCACTAGTTTTTCACTGCTTTGCACGGATTGTTCTAGATAATCACACCACCTCCCTCTGTTGGGGGAATATTACTATTCCTTCCATTTTACAGATGGGACAACTGAGCCCCAGACAGGCTGTCACCAGCCCAGCATCACACAATGAGAAAGGATCGAGCTGTTTCACCCGGGGCACTGAGCATGTCAGAACCACTCTGTAAGCAAAGGAGGCTGGACAGGCTGGCTGGCTGCTCCTGTCCCCTCTCGGTTGCTGTGTAAACCAGGGTTATCTGTAACCAGGGACACTGGGACCTGGAGGGTAGAAGAAGGATGTGGGGACACAGGGTTATCTGAGGCTGGAAGTGTGTCCCTGACAGGTCTGTCAGAGGAGCATAGTATCTGGGCTGCTGTTTGCTGAGGCTGGGGGGCATTTCTACCAGCAAGCAGACTTAAGGAAGATCAGATATCTAGACCTCGGTTTACCAGCCTCTAAAATGGAGATGACAAGAAAACGCCAAGTTCGTGACCCTCTGAGCCTGGCCAGGAGTTGCAGATAGAACATCAGTGGCTTCTCCATTTTGTAGCCCAGGATGGCTGAGGGACAGTGAAGTCTCCATAGCTGCAAGGAGTCTTGAACCCATGCCTGTCCCCTGCTCTCTCTGTCTGTAGGGCTTGTGAAGCTGTCTGGCCGGTGAGAACGTCAGAAGTGTTTCCCCCATGGCTCCACAGGATGACATGCCCTAAGGGGACAGGAAGATCAAGTGCATATCTGCGGCTCTGGAACATGTGGCCCTGCGTGTCTATGGCTTTGTAGACCATGATGTGCCTGCTGGTCTGCACACAGGGTGTACACCCGGTGTGAGGGTTAGCGATGGCCGTGCAGAGGACGAGCCCTACCATCAACTTGCTGGTGAGCCCACATTCCTAGGGGCTCAGCTGTGTGCTCACCTCCTCCTCCTGTGGGAATGGGAGTGCTGGGTGTGAGTCTGTCTTTGGATGTGTCCCTGCGGGCTGTGTGTGATAGTGTGTAACCATGTGTAAGAGTAGACAGAGTATGGCAATGCCTTTTTTTAATGAGAAGGGTCACGTGTCTCACACTCTGTCTAGTTCACGCTGCAGGACAGTCTGACCTTTAATCCCCAATCCTCCTGCCTCGGCTTCCTTAGTGTAGCACCAGACTCATCCAGTGTGTGCACAGATCCCGAGTGTGTGTGTGTGTGTGTGAGTGTGTGTGTGTGTGTTACTCCTGGCAGAACATCGGTCAGAGGCCAGTGACCTTGTAAGCACTTAGGTTGTGTGACCTTAGGCCCCAGCTGGGCCAATTCCCGGAAATTCTAGCAGAAAACATTCTCTGACCCTGCTGCATCCACGGGTGCGCGCGCGCGCGCGCGCACACACACACACACACACACACACACACACACACACACACACACACACGAGAGAGAGAGTGCTTATATCATCTCACAGTCTAGTCCACTTGAGGCCCCAGCTGCTCCTGGGGCTGTGATGAGAGAGTTAATCTAGCGGCCAGGGCGGTCTGGGCTGGGGGCCGCCCCCTGGCCCCCCTCCAGCCTGGGCTCCAGTTTCAGTTGCTTGTTGGGGAGGGCAAGAGTAGGGTGGGGCCAGGAGGGGAGCCTGCGGGGGTGGAGCGTCCAGTTCTGGGCCAGGGGGTCCAAAGTGCTTAGCTCCCAGGGTGCACAGCTGGACAATTGGGGGTCTTCTGTCAGCAGGGACAGCGTGAATGGGGTGAGCGACTCCCAGCCCTCCCTCCAGGCCTCTCTGCTCCCCTCGCTGGGAGGCCTATTTTGGGAACAAGAGTGGCCAGCCTGTGGCTTCTCAGGCAGGCCTGACCTAAGAGGGAGGAGTATGTGGGCACAGGAGTTGCACAGGGGCGGGCGAGCTGCTGACTCCTCCCTTTTCCAGTGGCTGCTGTGTGAGACCCCTGGCTGGGGATGAGGTTGGGTGTCCATTAGTATAGGCCTGTTTCTGTCATTGTTTGGAGGTACAGAAGGCCTGGAGGAATCTGCGCTATGTCTACACCCTGTGTCCCTCCCTCCAATCAGCGGTTTGGGGAGAGGGTGTCGTCTGTCCCCATTCCAGCCACACCCGTTCTTGGTTGGGGTGTGTGTTGTGTGTGTGTGTGTGTGTGTGTGTGTGTGTGTGTGTGTGCTCACAGATAAGTGTGCCTGTGCTGGTTATGTTTGTCCCTGAACCAAGCACCTAACTTCTCTCAGGCCCGCAAGCACGGGCTTCTTGTCACACTCACTTGGCTAATGTTGTCTTGTTATGAAAGATGTCAACCAAAGGAGGGTAAAGGGAGAACCGTTTCCCCCTTTCTCACAGCTTCCAGGAAGGGAGGTGGGGTGGCCTGTGGGGATATAGCTCCTGGCTGAGCCTCACCCCAGCCGTGTTATACAGGACCCCCCGAGTCGTCGGGGGGGGGGGGCTGTTGCCATGGTGGCCTGTGTGCAGCGAATTCCTCCGGGGTGAAGTGGGAGATATTTATACCCAGGGTCAGGGAGAGAGCGGGCAGGCAGAGAGCCCAGGCTAGGAGAGCCGGGGCTGCCCGGGTTTAGAGAGACCACTGGGGCTGCCCGGGTTTAGAGAGACCACTGGCTGAGGAGTGTAGTGGCAGGTGGGGCTGGGCGTGTCCTGCTCTCTGTCTCCA